GGGGGGGGCGGAGGGGGAATATCTGTAGCACGGCCCGCTATTCGCCCGGCTCCGGGAGCAGCCAGTGCTTGTGCGCTCTGAGACAGGAAAGGCAAAGAAAGGCCACCGAGTACTGCTGGTAGATTTGCCTTTGGATGTATGACACGCCGTTCTGGGAGGTTCTCGTCATCCATGCAGAAGGTAAAAGTGCCGTCCGACCGTCTTCCACGTATTCTGGATAGTTGTGGGGTAAATACTCTGAGCCCCGAAGTGTACTGCAGGGTGCTGCAACACGCTGCTGCTGTCATGACAAATACGATGATAGGACGAGCTCTAGAGGTACGGCGCCTAGAACATGGGCGGAAGACCGTCATGGTGGAGAGCCCTTTCCGCTCGCTTGAAGGACACATGAAGGCGAGGACAACCTTTGGTGTCAATGAAGTGAATAATAAAAAATAATGTTTGTAACGCAGTCATAACATTCGAATGAGCGTGGAAATTAATAGTGCTTGTTCTCCGAAAGGAGTGAGCACTGCTACTCTGGCAGTCTGCGCGCCAAGAATCGTATCCTGTCGCAGGTAGCCCTGGGGCATAGATTATATTCAAGACAGGGAACACAATTCCTGGAAGACCCTCGCACAGGCCTCCGATGCCTTCTCGCGCACAATGCACCAACCAAATCACCAGCCTGGGCACGCGGCTGTGCAGTCGCCCCGCCCTGCGTGTTGATCGCAGGTTCCTCGTCCTCGCGGCCCCCCTCGACCGTTACTTTCTCCCCAGGCAAATGTTCAAATCGAGGCCAACGGACATCTCCCGTGTCCCAATTACACGGGGGACGGTTGCCAGACTCGCGGGGGTTGGCCGACAGTCACACGATGCAACTTGTAAATGATGGGGAATGTGGTATGGATGGGGCGGGTGCGATCCTTATGTGAGATTGATTCGCGTGGTTGATGCGGGACAGTTGAGACTAACCAGCACATACGGTGTTCTTGAGGTTGAAGAAGTGCAAGTATTCGCGTCGGTTCCTGAGCCAAATTCTACTCTTCACTGTATCGCATGCTTGTTACACCCGCAGTAAAAGCTATGTGTATGAATGAAGACGATGCCGCTTTTTTCCCGCAGAGGCGTACCGTTGATTCCATCATTACGACTGACAATTTACCTTCTATGCACCTCGCGCACAGGGTTGCAATATTAAAACTTGGGAAGATCGATCCTGTTTACGTATAACAAGGCACCAGAGGGCAGTTGTTTGACATATAATGTCTTGGTTTCTGGATCCTGCACCACTGTACGAGACCAGCCAGTATATTACGCGCGACCCTGTCAAGCCCGTGCGATTTGTGCAGGTCTTTCAGGCCATCCCCGCCCTCGAGCCTTTCTACACCGAGTGGGAGAAGCATTTCGATGTTTCTGCGCCGTTCCGCGCCATTCGTGATAGCAAGTGGGTACCCATCATGGCTGTCATTCTTTATTTGTCCTTCCTCGTTGAGGGAAAGAAGTACATCGAGCGGCGAAAGAAGGAAGGCAAGGGGCCTGTGAATCTGGGATATTTCCCCGCCCTTTGGAACGGTTTTCTGGCTCTCTTCTCGATAGCAGGAGCGTTGCGCGTGGTACCGCATTTCTTGTTCCTATTTACGCACAAGGACTTCAAGGAGACTGTTTGCGAAGCCCCTGATGCGGCAGGGTACGGGGACGGGGCGGCAGGGCTGTGGGTCATGCTATTCACCGTCTCTAAGGTCTTTGAGCTCATGGACACTGTCATTCTGGTACTAAAGGGCAAGGACCCAATGTTTCTACACTGGTAAGTCGAGATGGAGCTGGAGGGGCGGAGAAGGAAGATAATTTCTGATTTGACAATGATTTGCTTCGCAGTAGAAATGTACTAAATGTGCTCTCCGTCAACAGGTACCACCACGTGACGGTGCTCCTGTATACCTGGTTTTCATACTCGGCACGCAACCCTGGCTTGTACTTCATTGCCATGAATTACACCGTGCACGCAGTCATGTACTCTTACTATTTCCTGATGGAGCTCCGTCTGTGGCCCAAGTGGCTCAGGTAGGGATGCTTGAACGCCCTGACTTCCTCCCTTTTCGTGTACTTCACCAGCTTGCCCTGTGGCGTTGCTTGGCTAGACGTCTGTGTTCATGTTCTCACAAAAGGTGCGATCTCTCTGTGCCACAGTCCTGTTTTTATCACTCTGATGCAGATCTCGCAGATGCTCGTTGGCGTCGGTGTCACAGCAGCCGCTTATTCGTACCAGGCTGACCCCTCGTGTGCCGTCGTCCGGGACTTGATTCCGTGGTGCGCCGCCATGTACGCCACCTACCTCTACTTTTTTGTCGAGTTTTTCGTGGAGCGATTCCTTGCTGCGTCCACCAAGAGGACTCCTGTGTCGAAGCTTGCTTCTAAGGATATCGGTGCCGCGCCCTCAAATGAAGGGCGCGATAAGAAGAAGACGTGAAAGTATCCTGAAAAGAATAACACGGAGATGAAGGCGGAAGAAAAGATTAGGAATAAACAGTGGAGGGCAAGGTCAACATGTTGACAAGGAAGGAAATAAATTAAAATTGATCACTTGAACTGGTCCATTCCTGCTAAACGCCATTTGCCTACAAGAAGGCCGTGAGTTACTCGAGAGAGCGCTTTTTGATGTATATGAGGAAAGTGGGGGCAATAAGAAGGAACAGTGTTTTGAAGGTGAAAGAGGACTTGAAGGGGGTTCCTACAACATCGCAAGCGAGCAAGCGTTAACTGAGTGTATCAGGAGAAAGGAACGTGTGGGAAGGGACAGCGTAATGTTTGTCTCAGAAGGAGAGAAAAAGTGTGCCATGCCAGCCACGCACACGCCGAAAAAGTATTAAATACAGATATCACTAAGAGTGCAGTATGTCTTGTCTCAAACGCATGCTTTGCGATTGTCCCGCTCCACCACGTCTGAGTAGCTTAACGCGCCACCGAATGTATCCAAGGCACTGCCTCTTGTCAAATCCACACGTATTCAAGGAGGTCCTTTTCTTATTATCATCGCAAAAATGCAGGACACGTCCGACCCGTCAAACACCATGCACTGCGTGTGTGTGTGGCACCTTGTTCTTGCCCAGCTCAGTCACCCGTACTACGTATCATCTGCTTCGCTGAGGTATCCCTCCTCTGCGTAGTAAGTGACAGTCATGGTTTGAAGCCGAGTATATAATGGCAGGACAGATTCGAGGATTAAGGACATGAAATTTGATATGCGTCGAGAGTGTATGACATAAGGGCATATTATTGGCAGTCAGACCCGAGATGGGCCTCTGAGAAGATCGGAACGCTTGGGAACGCGAAGGAGCTACCAAGAAAGGGCTCCTGTCTGTTGTACGCAACACACATGACTCTCCGGCAGAAAATAGAGACTATGTCAAGCTTCATTTGCTTGCATACTTGTCGTGTGCTCATGCGATATATTATAGTGCCTGACTGGATTTGAATTTTAGGGAGGGTCCATCCATCGTACAATGCATACAATGCGGCAGGCCCTCTCCTTCGTAGTCCCGGGAGAAGCTAGTTTCCATTCCCAATGCATTGTAATCTTCCTTATTTGATCTTCGAAGGCGGAAATGCCGTGGAGATTTTACCTGCCGTCATGTGTACGAGCACTTCTGTGTTCTCCACGTGATCACATCGGTCACTCATCTTCTTCCATGACCTATCCAGGCGCGACAACATGGCCGCGGATGTCCCTTCCGCGACTGTTTATGTAAACAACGTAAATGAGAAGATTCGAGGGGAGAAACTCATGCAAGGATTGAGGCAACTCTTCAACCCCATGGGGAAAATTCGCAAAATTCATGCCCGAAGATCCCTCAAGCTCCGGGGCCAAGCTTTTGTTGTCTTTGATCGCGTTAACGATGCCCAAAATGCCATCGACAAACTGCAAAACTTTTCGTTTTATGGCAAGCCCTTACGAATGGCCATCACCCAGGAGCCCTCTGACCAGACACTGCGGGCACAAGGGGTGGAGCCCGATCGCAGGCCCGCTCACCCGAAGAAGGGCATGGTGGCTGTGAAACTAGAGAGGACCAAGGGCAGCGGAAGCCGGTCGGTGCCGACAGCAACACCTGTCGCACAGCCCTTCGCTCCATCCGCGACACTCGATGTCCCGCCTCCACCACCGCAGCTCCCTCCAGCACGCGCACACACGAACGGGGGCGCTGACCCGATGGCCTCCACGGGTGAAGGAAGCGGTTTCGTGATCCCCCCGGCCGTTGCGGCGCCTGCCCCACCTTACAACGTGTTATTTTGCGAAGAACTGCCCGCGGAGGCAACCGAGGAAATGCTCGTGGCCTTGTTCAGTCAGTACGCAGGCTTTATGGGCGTGCGCATGGTGGCAGCTCGAGGATGCGCCTTCCTGGACTTCAAGAGTGAGCCGGAGGCAACCGTTGCCCTGCACGGACTGTCAGGCTTCAAGCTGACGGAGGAGCGTCCTTTGAAGCTCTCTTATGCAAGGCAATGAGGGCGGGGGATGGGCGGGAGGGTGAAGAAAGAAAATGGGCCGAGCGACATGTATAGACGCAGACCTGCTACCCTCAATACTTTCGAATACTTTGTTGCTTTGACTTTCATGCTTGCATCTCTTCTCTCCCGCTGTCATCTTCATCGCTACTGCTCTGGCTACTCGGCTCATCCCCCCCCGTCCCCACCGCCGCCGTCTCACAGCGCGCGATGCCCTCCCCTTCCGCGCCGCGTAACACCTCCAACTGCTCCTCTACCAACCTTAGCTGCTCTCCGTACGCGTCGGCCTTTTCTGCGTCCCCGTCCATCTGCTCCATCTTCCGCAGTGCTTGCTGCGCGTGGAGAAGGTGCGCCTTGGCCATTCCCACGTCCGGCTTGCGCTGCCTGGAGTAGGCCACGCCCAGTAGGTACCACACTTCCACGTTCTCGTCGTCCTCGCATTTACAAGCTTCCAATACGCGCACAGCTTCTTTGGCGCACTTTTTATTGTAGGCCTGGCACTCCAATAGGAGCTTTGCAGTCTGTAGCCTGAACATTATGGTTGGTAATTGTAGCCCTCTGATCTCTTGCCCCGCCCCCTCCCCCCCTTCCCCCTCAATTTCGTCGTCCTCCTCCACATCGTCCTGCTGGCAAGCCCCGAGTCGCTTGACCGTTTCTATCATCAACGCGGAAGCCTCTTGTCCTCGCTTCTGGCTTAGGCGCAGGTTAGCGCACGCCTGCGTCACTTCAGGCGACCCCCCTACGTCCAACCGGAGGGCTTCGTCTAAGGCGGCCTGACACCTGGCTTCTGCGTCCTCTTCGAAGCACAAGTCTGTCAAGTAGAGCTCCGCAATCGAGCAATGCGTGCTTACTAGCTGGTTGATGATGGCAAAGGCCTCATCATTCATTCCCTCCCCGCCGACCTCCTCTCCTTCCTTCCTATCTGGTTCCTTCAG